GGAACCAAAGCAACCAACACCCCCAAGTCCCAAAACGAACAACAACGGGGCAGCCCCGGGGCTCCCGGGGAGGAAACCACGAGAACGTTGCCACCACCAAGGCTCAAGTGCAACGCCCCTGCTGCCCGCACCCGCTTTGTTAGCACAACTGGGTAACCGAGCCACAACGAGCAACCAAACTCGCAGGACTCTGGGTCGAAGGTGTCACCGACCCCACAGGCAGCAGACGGAGGCAAAACAGAGAGTCACCCAGAGACAAAGGGTGAGAGCAACCCTCAAACTCGCTGGAAGCGAGGGGGGGACTCTGGGGTCACATCCATCGGACCCACGCGCCCCCAGGGGTTTCCCAGGGTCCCGAGCGTTTACTATATTAGGACTCGCGCTCAGGTAATCCCAGGCAGGGTACTGCTAACTGGCACCCAAAGCTACCAAACAACTTTCTAAGAGCTGAACCCCCGGGACGTGTACACTCACGGGGACCTAGCAGGGGTACCACCAGAAAATACTCAGAACACAAGGGACACAAGGGGCAAGAACGAAGGCAGACCCCCCACCAGGTAGATAAACAAAAAGAAAAAGAAAACCCCGCAAGAGGACAGCGTACCCAAGCGGAACAGAGCCAGCCGCTATGATTGGTAAAGACAAGCTGCACAGTACCCTGCGCCCCACCAGTGCAAAAACTGCCCCTTACTCTAAGGCGAACAAGGGAGACAGAACACCCGAGCACACAAAGAGCGGCCGAAAACCAAGCAGTAAACGGCCAAGCAGGGGCAGGACCCAAGGAACTTGTGGAAGGTGGCCCCAAGCCCCAAGGTCAGTACTTACAGGGCACCTAGGGAAGGGAACCCTAGGCGCATGCATCCCGAGTACTGAAGAATCACTCCCGGCTCACGCACCACCTAGAAAACAGACACCACACTCTAGGTACAGTGCTGAAACAACCACTGGAGCCGGAGCACATAACCATTGCCTATAGCATCAGCCAAAGAACTGATGGGTGGATAGCCGGTGTGGGAGGTCTGGGGCTCCCCCTTCCCCTCCCGGGGAGGGGGGAGCTGTGCAGACAGCGGCGCGGTGACGTATGACGTCATACTAGTTTCCTTGTTTTCTGTTGAAGAGTTCTATCCACTAGTTCGGCTTTAGGTAGCAATTTTCACCAGAATAGGGGTTTGTTTTGGAATGCTTATCTTTCTGGATGCTTGACCCGGTCGATGGCAGACATAGAATGCTTCCAACCACACGGGGGTTTCTATAGGCCATTGCTCCCCTTGCCTCTCTGAGGGGGCCAGGTTCTGGCTCGTGGTCCCCGGTAGGCCCTAGAACTCCATACACATGACTGATGCCAAAGTCTGACATTAGCATATCAGCCGGTAAAGCTCCGGGGAGCCGATGGGGCTCCCCCCAGAAAACACCAAAAAAGCAAAGAAACGACAACAGAACAAAACCCCTAAAAAAAGGTGAAAACTCACCCAAGAAGCTCGCTCGCACACCCAGGCGCATGTAAACAAACCGCAACGCCGCCCTGGTGGCCACGCCAGGAAACCGGCAGACGAAAATGGCCGCCAGAACAGAGGGCTGTGACCGACGCTAAAGATACGAAAACACACCAGCAAAAGTGGGAAGCAAGCAGACTGGATGGACGAAAAACTCCGCTCAAAATCAGAAAATCCAGGTAGGGGCAAACCGCCCCAGAACTGCTAGCAGGCATCCCCTACAGCCCTGGGAACCACCAACAAAGGCCCTGAGGCAGAGCCGTCCTCCAAGCCTTCCACCCTTAAAGAAAAGGAAGAATCCATGAGAAAGGCAGCAAGAAAGTGCCGCTGGTAAGAACCAGAAGCCTTGGCAGGAGGAACAGACTCGAAAACCTCCGTCCCCCAACCTGAACGGGCCAGCCCCCAAAAACCGCCCGAGTTTCGGCCCCAACTAAACCCTAACTTTAACAGTCTCCGTGGTGTAGTGGAAAGACACTAGCCTGGCGTTCCGCGAGCGCTTTGTCATGGGTTCTTATTCTGGCCGGGGAGGATTTACTGGGTGCAGGAGGAACAGGCTCGAAAACCTCCGTCCCCCAACCTGAACGGGCCAGCCCCCAGAAACCGCCCGAGTTTCGGCCCCAACTAAACCCCAACTTTAACAGTCCCCGTGGTGTAGTGGAAAGACACTCGCCTGGCGTTCCGCAAGCGCTTTGTCATGGGTTCTTATCCTGGCTGGGGAGGATTTACTGGGTGCAAAACCTTAACTGTAGCCTCTGTTTAACGCAACAGTAAAATGTGTACTTGGTTGTAACAACGATTTTTCGCGGCGGGGATCGTATTCCAGGGACCTGCCTGAAGCGCTACGCGTACTAGTGGCTGTACAAGAATGTAACAACTCTTGTATATATCTCAAAAAAACGCCCCGACCCCGAAACCCGCAGATGGTCCGGAGCCGGGAACAGCGAGGGGAAGGGGCGAACAGCACTTCAACCAAAACGGGGTGGCCTTGGGGCATCCGAGTGGGAATCCAACCTAGTATGTTGCATCAACCTAACCTAGCTTGCAACACGGATGCCACCTGTACTCTGAACAGTAATAACATCAGGAGAGTACTGGAGAACAAGCAGAGAATCTCTCTCGCAAGACTCCGGGTCAAGGTGTCAGTGACCCAACAGGATGGATGGAACTCGGAAGACACATTCAATGGTCCCCCGAGCCCAGACAGGGGTTTCCAGGGCCCGTAGGCTGACTGGTACGGGAAGCCCGGGCGAGGAGCTGCTAACCGGTTAAGAAACCCAAAAATAATATGAGGGTAGAGGATAGTACAGAAAACCCCTGCGACGTGTTCAATCATTGGGGCCTAGCAGAGGGCCGCCAAACACTACCAGTGGAACTATAGCCACACTGGGCAGACCCCCACCAGGCATGAAAATAAAAACAAAAGAAAAACCCCGCAAAAGTACACCGTCTCCAGAGGCAACAGGAACCGGTCGCCGCTTAGGTGGCAGGCTGCGCAACACCTTGACGCCCTAACCAGCACAATATCAATCCCTACCCAGGGCCAAACAAGGGCCCCCAGCCCCAGCTAGCCCCAAGGGTGAGGCAAAAGTCGAGCAGCAAGAACCTTTATGGGAATGGTTCCCGAACGCCCCGGGGAAAATAACCCTGTTACGCAGGGGCAGTACTCACAGGGCGCTTAGGGAAGTCTGCCACTAAGCGCATGCAGCCCTGGCACTGATGAGGTACTCCTGGCCACCGCACAACACAACACATGGCAGTTGCCACACAAGGCAAACACCGCCTAGGAAACTGAGGCCAGAGAAGCGCTATCCCGGTTGACATTAGCTTACGAGCTGAAGCTTGGCAACTGGCGCGTTAGGTCCAGGGCTCCCCCTTACCCTCTCGGGGCGGGGAGGGGTACGCGGACGATCGGCGCGGCAGTAAAGTGTGATGTTTGCTTGTTTCCTTGGGACTGTAGGGAGTTTCTACCTCTCTGTTCGTTTTTTTGTTTTAGTTTTTTACCATGTGGGTTTGTTTTGTTATGCCTACCTTTCTGGGTGCCTAACCCCGGTCGATGGCAGATAAGGAAAACTCCAACCACAAAGGGGTTTTCCAGGGCCATTGCTCCCTGAAACCTCTCTGAAGGGGCCAGGTTCCAGCGGTGGTCCCTGGTAGGTCTGAACTCCTTAGCTAATGTCCCGGTCTAATATAACATACATTAGCCCGATAAGCTCCAGGGAGCCGTAGGGGCTCCCCACAGAAAAATGCCGAAAGGACCGCCAGGAAATTTCATACTGCCGTCTAGACGAATCTCGCAGGTGGGACACCGTTAAGGAAACCACCTGATCACCTTATAAGTGGTGATACACCCGCATCAAAAGGACCAGATGTGAAGAGTGGAGGAGAAGATCGAACCAGCCACATACCGAACCGGACCGATCTCCTGAAAGAGGCAGAGCCGCAGGAAGACCTTCGGGTTCGGACATCAAGCAAGAGGCAACTGAAACCAGGGCTGGGCCGGCCACCAAGGAGCCAACAGGACTACTCTCCCTTGGTGAGTCTCCAACCGAGCCAGGATCCAGAGCATCAACCATACCGGTGGGAAGAGGTACAGGTAATTCCACCTTGTCCATTCCAGCCGAAAGTCTGGAAAGGGCGCCACATACACTGGAAGACGCCTCGACCACAAGATGCGAAGAGGTCTATCTCTGGGCGCCCGTACATCCGGTTTCCAATTACACAAGGGTGTTTTTAGGCCATTGCACCTCGTGCCTCTCTTGAGGGGGCCAGGTTCTTGCTCTGGCCCCCTGTAGGCCTTGAACTCCTTTGATTGACTGTTGCCACAGTTTAACATATACACATCAGCCCGGTATAGCTTCGAGGAGCCGAAGGGGCTCTCCCACAGACACACCACCAACCGGAGGGAGGGAGGGATGCTGTGGAGCCTCCGGGTCTCACCCAGAATCCAGAAACAATCAAGCATGTATGTTTGGAAGCCAGGAACAGAACTGAGAAGTCAGGATCTGACATCAGACAAGCAATTCGAAGAGGGCTGGTTATTAGCAGTAAATTAATACAGAACGCTATAGATAGACGTCTATAATAATTTTTGGATGTTTGGGAAAAAGAGATACCATCTAGGCTGGACAGAGCATCAGAAAAGGAAGAAATCTAAGAAAATAGTAGGTTTAGGTGGTCTGTCAAAGGAATATGTTAGTGATTTCTTGAGAATAAGAAAATATGTAAAAGGTAAGACTTGCTCCTTAAGGGTGACATTAAATGAAGTGAAGCAAATGACAAAAGTGCTTGGGAATGCCAAGAAATTGCAAAATGAAGATCGGAAACAACAGTCATTAGGTCGAGACCTTTGTAAGGAAGACATAGATAAGTTGAAACTGAACCTTGCTGAAGCAAAATGTTTAAATGAAAATAGAAATGAACCTAGCTTCTTAATGGTCAACAGTCCATAGTGTAATCCTCTTAAGTTACAAGGATCTTTCAATATATAAGAAATACAGGTTTAACTACCAGCTAGTGCTGTCACCAGAAGAAGTTGGATACACTGCTTGATCCAGTAATGTGGGCCCATGTGGTCCCAGTTCTGGGAGCAGATGATGTAGAGGAGACGATCATTTAGCCTAGACCGCATGCTCTCGTGGAATACCTGTGGAAAGATGAAAACTCTTTTACCATGCTTAAGACCAAGTTGGCAACAATAATGATGAAGATAATGATGACAAGGATAATTAGATGGGTAATGATGACAGATTTGTAGCTACATTTTTAATCTTCATTTTATCTAATTTATATGAAATTTATCATAAATCTTGAATCTTATTAAATTTTAACTACTGGACTGCGCTAACCGGCAATTGCCGTTCGCCGATTACTGTGCCAACCGGCAAAGGAATTTTTTATCTTTTGGTACACGGTCGATACGCGCTCGTGGTAGATTAGGTACGAAATGGACTCCAGTGAGAGGCAGCCATCTTGGAAAAAATTCCCAGAATGCCCTAGGGCTGATGGCTGGGTTAGTACTGAGTTAGCAACCATGGGTGGTGCACACGTCTCTGGCTCCTAAACACCTGTTCGACGCGGTGTTGAAAGATCGTGCTGTCGGTGAAATTCAAACCTTATTGTATGAAGAACATAAGGGTCATAATATTGGTGAAGCTAGGCGCAATAAGGACCTAATAAAAAGGTCGGATGCAAGTGATACAGCAACTATGAGGACGATACAGCGAGCGTATCCAATTGTAGCTTTGAGCGCCATCCTTGCCCACCTATGCTATGCTATCTCCAATTTATTAAGATGATACATAGATGAATCGTTTTCTGCGTTCAGTGATGATGCATCTGATACAAATAGCATAGATGAACAGTGCTAGCGGCTTCCATGGTGTTTTTCCATAGATATTTTCAAGAATAGCTGAATCTCTTCTTGACTGACGGACACTCTTTGAGGCTGGCTGAATCTCTTACAGACTGACAGACACTCTTTGAGGCTGGCTGAATCTCTTCCTGTGTGGGACCTTACAAATTGATCTTTTCCTGTTATCTTTTCAAGACTACCTTATGTTTTACAAGCTTGGCTACATACCACCTACAGGTACTAATGCCAAGGGTGTACGTGAGTGCGTTATTTGCAAGCACACAGAACGAAGAAACAGGAAGCAAAAATCTATCTGTACCTGGTGCAACGAAAGCGAAGTCGCGCTGTGTACCATCTTGAGGTTATCTTGAGATGATTTCGGGGCTTTTAGTGTCCCTGCGGCCCAGTCCTCGACCAGGCCTCCACCCCCAGGAAGCAGCTCGTGACAGGTGACTATAACACCCAGGTACCTATTTTACTGCTAGGTAACAAGGGCATAGGGTGAAAGAAACTCTGCCCATTGTTTCTCACCAGCGCCTGGGATCGAACCCAGGACCACAGGATCACAAGTCCAGTGTGCTGTCCGCTCGGCCGACTGGCTCCCCATGGACTACTTCGTTGATTATTACTCACTTCCAAAGTACTGAGTGAGTAATACAGTGTGTTACTGTGTAAATATTGTGTGAAACTGTACATATTGTAATTTTAGTGAATTTTTAACAAGTACTATTGTGACAATAAACATTTATTATGGACACATTTCTGACACATGTATCACAGTTCCATGGAACATTATGAACGTTCTACTGTAAACATATCATAAAGGACACAAATATGCATCATATACGATAAAAAAACAATTAAAACCGCATTGAAAACACATAAAACAAATAATTGAAAATATATTTGTGGCAACACCCCATGCTTGAATGGCCCGCGAGACCGTGTCTGGGCGAGTCACGCACAGGCGACCAGGCCCTAATGACGTCACAGCGCACTTTGTCCACATCCCCACAGCCAAAGTAAGTGGAATTTGGTATTTATTTTTACATAGACATGTTCAGGGAAGGGAATTTATCATTTTATGAAGAAAAAATAATTTTTGGGGAACACTTTATTTCATGCGCACAGGGGGAATTTCACAATAAACTCGGCACAGCATGGTGGTTAACAAAGCCACCTGATCACCATACAGATGGTGATAGACTCAAATAAAAAATACCAGACTCGAGTAGAAGAGAGAACCAGCCACTTAACACTTTCGCTCGGGCATGACGCAGCATTGCGTCATCCGTTTACTGTCGGTAATGACGGGCATGACGCAGCATTGTGTCATCCACTTTAAATAATCGCCAAAAATCAGGTTTTTATCCGATTTTTTGGGGACTGGTTTTAAAATGCGCGCCGATGTCTTCCCATTTTCTTTGTTGAGCCTCGTGGCCCGCAGGCGGCTCGGCACACGCCATCGGCCCATTGTTTTCGCTCCACTGTTGTGACTGGTGTCGCCTCCCCTCGCATCTCAAACGTGTGAACATTTCGGCTATTTTCCGTGGCTATATTTCATACTGCGGCTTTAGAAACTATCTACGCTTACTCCATGATGATAGTGATCATGAACAAGGCCCTTCCAGGAAGAAAATTGCGAAAGAAAGGCTTGAAAAGGGTGGGAATTGGGAGTGTAGCTGGAAGGCGTCTGAGCGCTCACTCGCGGCTAACGCGTGGCCCGTCTTCAACTCGTCGGCGGTTGGAGCGTGACCAGGTTTTTTATTTTATATGCTAATGTTCCTCTAGCGAATTCTATTGCGAAACCATTGAGACTAAAATGAAAGACTTAGGACGAAAATTGAGGTGACCAGAGTGAAAATAGTGAAAACATTTTATCGCGTTTGCGAGCTCCTGGGAAACTTGTTCGCACTTTCTCTGTTTGCTACGGGTAATTAGCCGGGCTTTTGGAGTTTATATGCATTTAGTGCTGTAGAGAATTCTATTGCGAACACAATAATACCAAATTTAATCTCGTAGGACGAGAATTAAGGTGACAAAGTTGAAGAGAGTATACACTTTTCAGAATTTACGCGCGCTCGCGTGAAACCTTGGTACCCAAATCGCACAGTTGAGGGGTGGCGCGCGGGGTACGCCAAAGTGTTAATGGACTAGACCGATCTGGTGAAAGAAGCGAAGTCGCGGGGAAAACCCCTTGGGTTCGAACACCGAGCAAGCAGTGCCTGACACCAAGGATGGGCCGGCCACCAAAGGGCCAATAGGACCCTTTGAATTAAAAAGGAAAAAGGCTAATCTAAAAAGGCTAAGTTTCTTACCAGAAGAGGGCTCCCTCTCTTCTGGTAAGTCTCCAAGCGAACTAGGACCTGGAGCAACAGAGGAACTGGGGGAAGAGTTACAGGTAACCCCCCCCCCCCTCAACCAATCCCACCAAAAAGCATCGACCACGACTGCGAGACAGTCGGAGTCGATGAGTTTGACGGGCTGAAAGTCAAACCCATGCAATAGGCAACAGGAAAACATTGAAGCCTGCTAAATATACGGATTTGGACTCATCTGTATACAAATGGTTTACACAGCATCGTGCGAAAAGAATTGCTGTTTCAGTTAATTCTGTTAGCAATGCAGCTGAAAGATTTGCTGAAAAGTTAAACACAGACAATTTCAAGGCTAGCACTGGATGGGTATGTTGATCTAAAGAGAAGCATGGCATCATTAACAAGAAAATTTGTGGCGAAGCATTAAGTGTAGATGTTGGAAGTGTTAATGCATTTAAACAAACTTTCTCAGCACATGGTATCTAATAATCTAAGCTGGTTTCAAGTGTACAATGCAGATGAAACAGGCTTTAACTGCAAATGCCTTCAAAGAAACACTTTGGCCTCTAGGCTTGAGGAGAGTATTCCTGGTCACAAGGTAAGCAAGGAAAGGAATTTCAGCATTATTGTGTAGTAACGCAGATGGCAGTCACTGAACAAAGTGCGCAATTGTTGGGAAATCTGCCAACCCCCCAGAGCATTGAAAAACTGCATGAACAGACTACCTGTCGTTTACTACAACACAAAAATTGCTGGTTCACACAGATTATTTTTGAAGACTGGTTCCAGAATCACTTTTGTAAAAAAGTAAGAAAGCATCAGATCAATGAGCGTGGCATTTGTCCTGTTGATGTAAAGGCAATGCTGTTGATAGATAATGCCCCAGCTCACCCCATTGCTAAATTAACATTGCCTGATGGCAAAACAACATGTCTTTAACAGTTAAAGACTTAAAAGATAGCTTCCCCCTCCCGGGAAGGGGAGCTGTGCAGATGGCGGCGCGGCACGTTGTGATGTCAAGCTCGTTTGCTCATTTTTCTTTGGGGAGTCCTGTCCACTTGTTTGACTTTCATTAGTAGTTTCAACCAGAATAAGGGTTTGTTTTGAGATGTTTACCTTTCTGGGTGCCTAACCCGATCAATGGCAGATATAGAATGCTCCAAATCACATGGGCCATTGCTCCTCGTGCCTCTCTGAAGGGGGCCAGGTTCTGACTCGTGGTCCCCGGTAAACCTATGAACTCGATTCACACTGACTGATGCCAAAGTCTAATATATCCATATCAGCCAGGATAAGCTCCGGGAGCCTCTGGGTCTCACCCAGAAAATGGCGTTTTATTACATTCAACGATGGTTTTTCCTTCTTCTGTAGTGTCATCTGCATTCACTTTCTAGGGTGGTCCTCTTTCTAGCCTTCCACAAATGAACATGTTTCATGCAGACTTTGTATGATTTGGCAGTCAACTGGTCTATTCCTTGTTTGGTAGTTGTGTTACATAAGACAGTGCCCCTTGCATGTTTGCAAGTTTATGTTGATTATTTCCCCAGTTAGTCCTCTTACTGTTAAAATTTAATTTACTGAATAACCCTTATCACTTGTTAATCCTTTTGGACTTATTACATGTATTGATGTTAGTTTTAATTTCACTGTGCTTGTGATCTGAGTACTGTAATTAGTATGTAAGATTATAGTAGTAAAGGAAACAGGGGTAATATGATGATAATATAATGATGATATCTAATTAATTGTTGATCTGATACAGAATATATAAATTAAATTTTGAATCTAAAAACCAGAATTTTGCATAAACCCTCTTGCTATTCAATGGGAAAAGTCCTATAACATATTCACAATTATCACAATAATTGGATAAATTGGATAAAAAGGATAAATTATTTACCTGAAAAAATTTGGCTCTTATCGGAGGCTGAGTACAGCGCAAGCCAGCCAGAAAGGCAGGCTCTAGCTTAGCTGTAAGTTCAGTATTTCTGAGAGTATCATCTCTATATACGTGATTAACAAGTTCAAGAAATTGAGCCATGAGTTCGGAGTCTTCAGAGAAGCGCTTCTCCACATACTGCATAAGCTTCACAAGAAGGATGGACTTCTCTCTCAAGCTTGGACCCTGGTTGATTGCTATTGGACTTTTGTTCTTCACCCATTCTTCCACCATCTAGAACATAAAAGAAAACATATTATTTTTAACCACATTAATAATTCATTAATGCTAATTCCACCTGAACTCTTTCCAAAATTTAATAAACATAAATCAATAAATATGCAAACAAAATACTTGCTTAATATTATATATTTTAATAAATAATACTTAATTGCTTAATAATAGCTTGGTTTATATAAATGGTAGGAATAAAGATTAAAATTAACAAGCAATAAACCAGCGTTGAATGTAATGAAACGCCATTTTCTGGGTGAGTCTCGGAGGCTCCCCAGAGCTATCCAGGCTGAATGGATATGTATAACTTTCTGGCATCAGTCAAAGTGCTAGGAGTTCTTGCCTACCGGGGACCACGAGCCAGAACCTGGTCCCCTCAGAGAGGCACGAGGAGCAATGGCCTATAGAGACCCCCCTTGTGGTTGGGAGCATTCAATGTCTGCCATTGACCAGGACAGTCACCCAGAAAGGTAGGCACCCTAAAACAAACCCCTATCCTGGTGAAAATATTGCTACCGAAAGCCGAACGAGTGGACAGAACTCCCCAAACAAAATTAGCAAACTAGCATGATGTCATCACATTGCCGCGCTGCCATCTGCGCAACCTCCCCCTCCCTGGGAAGGGGAAGGGGGAACACCAGACTCCCCGTGCCGGCGCTCCAACCGGCAGTTCTTAGGCTGGATGTCAAAATATGCGAAAAACACCACTGACCGGAGGGAGTCATGAATGCTGGGGAGCCTCTGGGACTCGCCCAAAAAACCAGCGTTGAATGTAATGAAACGCCATTTTCTGGGTGAGACCCGGAGGCTCCCCGGAGCTTTACCGGCTGATATGCTAATATCAGACTTTGGCATCAGTCATGTGTATGGAGTTCTAGGGCCTACCGTGGACCACGGCCAGAACCTGGCCCCCTCAGAGAGGCAAGGGGAGCAATGGCCTATAGAACCCCCGTGTGGTTGGAAGCATTCTATGTCTGCCATCGACCGGGTCAAGCATCCAGAAAGGTAAGCATTACAAAACAAACCCCTATTCTGGTGAAAATTGCTACCTAAAGCCGAACTAGTGGATAGAACTCTTCAACAGAAAACAAGGAAACTAGTATGACGTCATACGTCACCGCGCCGCTGTCTGCGCAGCTCCCCCCTCCCCGGGAGGGGGAAGGGGGAGCCCCAGACCTCCCACGCCGGCTATCCACCCATCAGTTCTGAGGCTGGATGTCAAAACACGCGAAAAACCGCCGACCGGAGGGAGGGAGGATTGCCGGGGAGCCTCCGGGTCTCACCCAGAAAATGGCGTTTCATTACATTCAACGCTGGTTTTCTGGGGGGAGCCCCGTCGGCTCCCCGGAGCTAACTACCCACAGAGGAAGGTCAAAGGGACAGAACCGGGAGGCGGACACCACTCACTCCCCCCCCCCCCCCAAGGAGGCGAGACAACCGGCAGCAAACGCCAACCCAAGGCGCCACAGCCCTGAAAAGTCCTGGGAACAACACGAGAACAACGAGCAGCAAGGCCCCTGCAGGAACACCAACAATCCATGCCCAAAAGACTGCAAGGCCACGTCGCCCAGATGGCAGCAAGAGCAGCGAAGCCACGAACGCCACAGGCATGAGGGAAGAACACAGGCAGCTTTGCCGCAAGAACACGGCTGACCACCTGGGACACTAACACCCGCGAACCGGGAAGAACAGAACCGGATCAACGCAAAACACGCTCCGGACCCAAACGCCGTGGCACGCAAACAACAGTGGAGGGCCGCCACTGAACACAAAAATACAACACCCCCCCGACCCGATCAACGAAGCACCAACAACCCTGGACCCCTCCAGAACGCAGCAGCCCCACCCCGCGCCAGAAAAGATGGAGACTGCTGCCACCAAACAACCAAAACGCTAAAACCGAAGGAGCAAGAAAACTCAGCGACTCGACCCCCAGAGGCAAAGGCCAAAAGGAAAGAACCGACGAAAAAACACACCGGAACCGAAGGGGCACTACCAACCGAGGAGAAGACAGAGCACGCTGACCAGAGACCAGGATGGTGCAAGTGGCGCACGAACAGGCCGGAGGTGAAACGACGCACAAGACAGCTGACTAACGGTGCAGAAGCAACACCAAGACCGAAAGCAAGCTGAAGCGGCTCCGCCTGTGCCGCACGAAAAGAGGCGACAGTATGGGGCAAGACGATGGCCCCCAACCCCCACCAGAAAACCAAGCCGAGAGTAAACCAAGCTAACAAGAGTAACCACCTAAGAAGGGACAGGAAAAGGAAGGACCGCCAAAATACCCATACTGCCGCCAAGAGAAGCACGCAGGTGGGACACCTACCACGAAGCCACCTGACAACCAACCGGAGGCGAGACCGCGAGGCAGAACATAAGCAGCCCCGACAAGGCCCCTCCGAGCCCAGGAAAAGGCGGAGCCGCGGGAAGATCTCGGGCGCAACCACCGAAACCCAGACGGCACAAGGAGATGGAACGTCTGCCGAACAGAAAAACTCCCCAAAGCATGCAAGCCCGCCAGGAGTTCAGAAACGACGGGTCCGACGCGAGACATCGCAAGACCCCAAAAAAAAACAAAAAAAAACGGCAGGGCAAGCTAGAAAACCAAAGAAGGCAGAAGGGTCGCCGCCAGAACAGTACCCGAACCAAGGGGTACGAACAACTGCAATAGACCGAGACAAAGAAGCACATCACAGGACACAGGCTGACAAACGCCCAAGAACACACACAGAACACCCCTGCTGCAGAGGAGGCAGGAAGAAAGAGCAGAAGCACAAAAACCCCAGGAAAACAACCAGGGGTGGACAATCAGGCAGGGACAGAAAAACCCCCACGCAATCCCCAGGCACAAAACGGCAGCAAAGTGCCACTCCACAACCGGACACAGGAACAAGGACACGCCACCGTGAAACACGGTACCAATGCACACGTGCAGCAGCAGCAACAGGCACCACTGCAACATGCAACATGTAAATAGCAACTCCCTTCTGCAAAGGCAGAGAACGGAGCAGGCAGACCCCAGACAGGGCCAACGGAGACACGACAAAACCCCGCAGGCCCAGAAACCTGCACCAGGCGACCGACGGCGGAAAAACCCCGCTCAATACCTGCTGGATGAGGTACTGGGAGCTCTGTTACACCTCAAGCCCAGCCCAAGGCCAGGTTAGACCGGCCAGAGGGTGGCCCACCAGGCAGCTGCTAGGAGCAGTCCACCGGCCCACATACCACCACAACCAGGACGGGCCGGAACTGCCATACGAAAACAGGCTAGTGCGCCCTGGAAGTCCATGGACGAACCAGCAAGAAGGCTTATGCTCGCAAGTAGGTCGTGTAACAAGCACAGACCTCTGATGGTAATACAGTGTTCCCCAAATGTGCCAATAGCACCACTGCACTCCACTGGCACTATCCCGCAAGTTCTACCAGATAGGCGGGATCCAAGAGCCAGAGCTCAAATCCTGCAAGCACAGCCAGGAGCCTTACCAGGTGAGTACAGAACCAACCCTACAACCCCCACACCTGACAACATTAAAAAAGGAGGGTCCCCTGAATGACTCCAGCATGGGTTGGACATGCACATGAGGGGGACAGGAAGGGTTGAAAAAGGGACAGTCACTGGTGTGCGAACGGTCTCAGTCATACAAAAATATACCTAAATAAAGACAGGTATATAAACAACTCCGCAACCAGCGCCCGGCCAAAAGACGCCAGACCGCAGAAACTCACCTGGCGAACGGTGGCACGAACTTGACACGACTCAACCGTGCCCAGAAGAACCTGGGAGCACCGCCAGGTGAAGACGCCAGAGCCGGACCCTGCCGGACCCGCAGGAGAGTAGGGAGAGGCGAAGGAGGCGGTCCACACCCATGACACAGGGAAAACCGCGGTGTCCTCCCCACAACTGGGAACCAGGACACCCCTGGCGCGAAGGGGCACATACCGCAACCAGGGAGAAGAACGAGAGGCGAAGCACTGTAGCAAAAAGGGCGCAAAACACCAGCACTGAAACACCGCCCAGACCAAAACAAACTCCACGGCACATGCGCATAACATGCAGGCCGAACTGCACACCCACTCTGCGGGAAGGCGCCAGTCAGGACTACTGCACGAGAAAAGTAGCCAAAAGAGGAAGCAGGAACAATAAAATCGGCCAAAGAAGCAAAGAGCCCAAAAAGGAACCCAACCGGGCGACAAGTAGCCCAACAGGGCGACAAGTAGCCCAACAGGGCGACAAGTAGCCCAACAGGGCGACAAGGACGAGGAGCCGACAGACGTTCCAATAATGCGGGAAGTAGCGAAAAACCTTCCCGTACCCTCGAGAACACAGAAGCCAACACTAGTCCCAAAGGCACACGAAGGCGCAGGCGCACCCGAGATCAGAAGTCACGCAGAACCCCACTGAACGGGGAAACATGACGAAAACACCGTCCCAAAAAGGGGTGGGAGGAAACATCCACCCACAGGACGGAACCAACCGACTCAAAGGCCAAGGAACCAAGCCCGGGGAGGGGTCGACGCCCAACAGCACGTACGGCGAGTGGGGAGGAAAGACCCCACTCCGCTTAACCACAAGCCCCGCCTGGAGGAGGATAAAAAACCCCCACGGGGTCCAACGGGGCCAAGGCCCCCCAAGTCAGCCCCTCCCCAGCCCCGGGAACCTACATGACAGGCCCCGGGGCCGAGCCGTTTCCCCAAAGCCCCGGCCGTACCAGAAAACCGGGGCAGCCGTGAAAACACTAAGGAAGGCAGCCCACTGGCAGACTCATACAACATGGCTGGAGGAACAGGCTCAAATGCCCCCGTCACTACCCCGGAAGCGGAATTTCCCGAGACTGCCCGAGTCTCAACACCATCAAAAACCCCGCCCCGAACCTACAGATGGTAAGGAACCGGATGCAGGCAGGAAGGGTGATCCAGGGGAAAGACAAGGGGGCGTGGAACGAACCGAAGCAACCAACACCCCCAAGTCCCAAAACGAACTACAACGGGGCAGCCCCGGGGCTCCCAGGGAGGAAACCACGAGAACGTTGCCACCACCAAGGCTCAAGTGCAACTCCTCTGCTGCCCGCACCTGCTTTGTTAGCACAACAGGGTAACCGAGCCCCAACGAGCAACCAAACTCGCAGGACTCTGGGTCGAAGGTGTCACCGACCCCACAGGCAGCAGACGGAGGCAAAACAGAGAGTCACCCAGAGACAAAGGGTGAGAGCAACCCTTAAACTCGCTGGAAGCGAGGGGGGGACTCTAGGGTCACATCCATCGGACCCGCGCGCCCCCAGGGGTTTCCCAGAGTCCCGAGCGTTTACTATAAGAGGACTCGCGCTCGGGTAATCCCAGGCAGGGTACTGCTAACCGGCACCCAAAGCTACCAAACAACTTTCTAAGAGCTGAACCCCCGGGATGTGTACACTTACGGGGACCTAGGAGGGGGTACCACCAGAAATACTCAGAACAAGGGACACAAGGGGCAAGAACGAAGGCAGACCCCCCCCCCCACCAGGTAGATAAACAAAAAGAAAAAGAAAACCCCGCAAGAGGACAGCGTACCCAAGCGGAACAGAGCCGGCCGCTATGATTGGTAAAGACAAGCTGCACAGTACCCTGCGCCCCACCAGTGCAAAACTGCCCCTTACTCTAAGGCGAACAAGGGAGACAGAACACCCGAGCACACAAAGAGAGGCCGAAAACCAAGCAGTAAACGGCCAAGCTGGGGCAGGACCCAAGGAACTTGTGGAAGGTGGCCCCAAGCCCCAAGGGCAGTACTTACAGGGCACTTAGGGAAGGGAACTCTAGGCGCATGCAGCCCGAGTACTGGAGAATCACTCCCGGCTCACGCACCACCTAGAAAACAGACACCACACTCTAGGTACAGTGCTAAAACAACCACTGGAGCCGGAGCACATAACCGTTGCCTATAGCATCAGCCGAAGAACTGATGGGTGGATAGCTGGCGTGGGAGGTCTGGGGCTCCCCCTTCCCCCTCCCGGGGAGAGGGGAGCTGCGCAGACAGTGGCGCGGTGACGTATGACGTCATACTAGTTTCCTTGTTTTCTGTTGAAGAGTTCTATCCACTAGTTCGGCTTTAGGTAGCAATTTTCACCAGAATAGGGGTTTGTTCTGGAATGCTTACCTTTCTGGATGCTTGACCCGGTCGATGGCAGACATAGAATGCTTCCAACCACACGGGGGTTTCTATAGGCCATTGCTCCCCTTGCCTCTCTGAGGGGGCCAGGTTCTGGCCGTGGTCCCCGGTAGGCCCTAGAACTCCATACACATGACTGATACCAAAGTCTGACATTAGCATATCAGCCGGTAAAGCTCCGGGGAGCCGACGGGGCTCCCCCCAGAAAATGGTGTTTTATTACATTCAACGCTGGTTTTCTGAGGGGAGCCCTGTCGGCTCCCCGGAGCTACCTCACCAAAGATAAGAAAAAAAGGGGAAGGAACCGGGAGGCGGACGCTATGCACCCTAACCCACAAACAAGACCACAGACCACCACAGACCACAAAAGGACCGTGCAGATGACTCAGGAGACCCAAACCCCCTGAGATGGACACCAACAGGAAAAGGAGACCCAAAAAAATACCAAACGCAAGCTGGAGCAGCGCCGCCCGATACGAGGCGACAGTATACAGCACCAGACGACGGTGCTGGAATACCCCCGAAGGGAAAGACAAGACAACCCTATTAGAGACCGAAGCACCCTTCACAGTGACAGGAAAACCAGAAGGACCACCAGGAAAATACACACTGCCGCCGAGATGAAGCACGCAGGTGGGAGACCAACAACGAAGCCACCAGTGCCCATACACACACAATGACAAGAAACTCGAGACAAAAACCCCAGACGCCAAGACTCGAGAGGTAGAACGAACCAGCCTCGGGCAGAGCTGGACCGATTTGCAAAAAGAGGCACAGCCGCGGAAAGACCCTCAGAATTGAAAACTGAACAAAGTAGCGCCCCCAACCAAGGTTGGCAAAGAACCAGAAGGAACGGCCGCTTGGGACGGTTTTCTAAGAGAAGTTCCGGATCAGCCGGGCTGTGGTGGGTACGTGGCCCTGCGGGCCGCTCCAAGCAACAGCCTGGTGGACCAGACTCTCAAGTCGAGCCTGGCCTCGGGCCGGGCTTGGGGAGTAGAAGAACTCCCAGAACCCTATCAATCAGGTATCAACCAGGTATACCAGCTTAGTGGTTCGCTATGGTGAACACAAATGTAGATACTTATATGTAATGTGTGTATAGAGGGTATAAACAGCAAGAGGAGTAGGTTGGGAGCCGCCATTTTGGTGAGGGCGGTGGCGTCGTCTGCACGACTTATCATGTTGTTTACTGGTGACCACGATGGTCCTTTAGCACCATACCAGTTTACTTATACAAGTATGGTGAATAAAACAGGTACATACTTATATATAATGTGTGTGTATACAGTATTGTTGGAGGAGAAATATTAGTGCGTCTGGCCTTGAGGGCGGCAGCCATCAGCTGACTGTGTGAGTAGCTATGTCTTTGTGCCTTTACTCACCATACAAGCTTAGATGTACAATTATGGTGAACAAAACATGTAAATACTTATATATAACGTCTGTATATAAAAGCAAAAACAGTATGGTGGGAGGAGAATGGTGGCAAGTCAGGTGAGGTGAGGGAGGGTGTGGCAGCCAGTGGCGGGCTGCCGCTGCCTGTCACTGCCACTGCCACTCAGCATACCAACTTAGTGGCTCGTTATGGTGAACACAAATGTAGATACTTATATATAGCGGCTGTATATAGTGAATAAAAGCAAAAACAGTATTGTGGGAGGAGAATGTGGGTGAGTCAGGTGACTTGAGGGAGGGAGGAAATAGCAGCCAGTGGCGGGCTGCCACTGGCACTGCCACTCTGCATGCCAACTTAGTGGTTCGTTATGGTGAACACGAATGTAGATACTTATATATAACGTCTGTATATAGTGAATAAAAGCAAAAACAGTATGGTGGGAGGAGAATGTGGGCGAGTGAGGTGTTGAGGGAGGGAGTGAGTGGCTGGCTGGTGTGTGGCGGTCACTCCTCGTTACTTTTTGACTCATAATAGCAACTTAGTGGTTCGTTATGGTGAACAAAACATGCAGATACTTATATATAACCTGTGTATATAGTGTAATAACCGACAAAGTATTTGTTCACTGTTTGATGAACATAATTGAATCAACAATATGCACACCATATTTTTGAGTACAGTGATGATTCACTCGTTTTATTATATAAATATATCACACTACACACTATTGAACAATATTACAGCAAAAAACTACGAAAAATCAATCAGTGACATTGAAATAATTAGGTAATTATCTCTTTGTGGAAACTCTGGCCTGACAGCTGGCAAGCAACAGACCGCCTGGGACGCACGCTGAATCAGCGCCTGTTTTTTGCCAGACTTCCCCGCCCTATAGCGGGCAATATATGCCACTTACGATTTTTTTTTTATTTTTCCCATGATCAGTGAACACAAATTAACAGGTTAGGAAGAAAAAATATATATATTTTTTTTTTTGTATGCCCCTGTAGGTGTCAAATGGTATATAGCCATGCGCAATTTAAGGGTTAATGACTCACAAAGGGGCAAGTGTGATTTGATATTATAGGTGCTCAGAACAGCAAGGAACAGGAAGCCACCAAGTTGCCCCTCCAGAAAACATCTAATGCATAACACACCAGCACAAACTAAAGAAAACACTAACCTTTGTAATGGCTTTCATAACTTTGACATCAGGTGTTTTTTCAATGAGACCCACTAGTATTGTACCAATGAAAGCCTTCCTCATTTCTACACCCATAACACCAACACGTTTCTTTACCAGATCAAGAGACAGGATCAACAGTTCACTCCCCACTGAAATGTAAAATATCTCATTAAGAGTACGAAGAATACTTTATTTTTAATTATGTGCGAAGTCAATATTCATCACAATCATGCAATGAAGATGATGGAAGAATCACAAACTATAAATACCTGAACTAGTATCCGTTGATGTGTGACTCAGATGTTCACGAGCCATGCGCTGCAAAACTTTCATAAAGGGCATGATAAGTCTATCAATGTAACAAGGATTATTTTGGCATGCTGCCTTCAGTATCATCAGAGTGCCAAATAATGATGTCGGAGTAGCAGTGGCATTTTTCTCATATGTTGACAAACCCTCAAAAACAATTTTGGCTATCCTTGAATATAGGTCTTCCAGTTCCTCATATCTTGATGCTACAGTAGCACTAGTAGGCTCTGTGGGGAAGGTTGACATAAGCCGATCCAATAAGGAATGTGTAAGTCGCACAACACGTGAATTACTACAAGTCATGCAAGCAACCAGGCCACGAGTGAGACCACGCATAGCACCCAAGATCTGTTCGCGACGCAACGTCCCGATGAGATAAGTGAAAACTTCCAGTCCAACGCAAACATTTGTAAGATTTGGTTGCGCAGATTCCAAATTTAGGAATAACTTATCTAACCATGCCAATTTGGGATCAGCATGGGGCCACATATCTGGCTTTAGAGCTCGTTTGAGGAGACACACACAGCGTCGCGATAAAGCTTCACCAGGAGCCACGGTGCCAGGAGTTGCTGTGCTCTCATTTACTTGACAAGCTAACCGCAGCAAAAAGTATACCACAGCATCCGCATGACTTTTTTCCATTGGCCTTGTAACATCAACACTTCCTCTTGAACTTCCTCCTATTGACACCCTTGCTCGTTTTGCTTCTGGTCCATCAGTTGAGGAAGATCTTTTTATACTGCCAGGTTGTTGTAGTTGTTGAGTTAAGGGATCACAACTATTATAACTCTCTACCTCTTCCTTTACTCTTTGCTCTTCCCACTTAATGCACACCTGAAAGAAATTGAATATACATCACATATCTATGTTCTATATATAAAAGTTCACATATTACTGGTGTCTTGAAAAATATGTTTTCAATGTATCCTCACATACTATTGTAGCCCCACACAACATCCAATTTATACAAGACTACTTTAAATACTATTAATTTTTCAAATAACTAAGCATTTTAATCTTTCTATCACCTAACATGTTCAGCATCACCTCCAACGACAACAGCCAAGACAATATTTACATACACAATACATCAGATTCAACTGTCCATACAGTGATATTCATTTTATTTTTACTGTAGTGACATTTCCTGTCTTATCCTTACCTTATAATACTGTATATGCTAAATTAGTGTGAACATTATAAATATTTACTGAAGAAACAGTAATTAACCAATAAATACTGTACCATATTTTGGCATATGACTAAAGATAAAAGAAAAAAACCTACACATAATTGCTCCCTTTACAATGTACAACAGCAATTGCAGCAATAAGGTGGAGCCTGTTTAAGTGCAATGGATACTTATACAGCAAAAGTTAGGCTATGGTTATATATTTGTTTGACATACAGTTAGAAAGTAACTTAAAACAGTACACTTTTAACACTAATGACAATAACATATTCTTTGAAAACCTTGAAAGTTAACTTCACAAACAAAATACTGTATAACCGAAAAGGTAAAATAAAGGTAATGTAAAGGTAGCGAGGGGTTTAATTTTAACCTGATGAAGTATAAAGTCAAGTTGTCAGCACTCTTCTATCAACTTAAGAAGAATAATAGAGATCAATTTTCCTGGTGAATTCACACCAATTCTCTATAAAAAATAATGAAGCCCATTTCAGCCATATCAAGATGTTCAAATATTTTTTATGATAATATTATTCTTTCCTTGTTATCTTCAACTATAACACCAACCAGCTATACAGTACATCATTAAATAATCAAATACTGAATATTATAAAATGCCCTTTTCTGTTGGGGCACTCAGTAGCTCCCTTAGCAAAGCACTGGCCCAGACACTCTGGCTCTCTCTACAAGGCAAGGGCAGCTTGGAGGATCAGACACTAACCCAAAGCCAAGAACATTCCCATCAGAAACCATAAGCACAGTAAAACAAGCCACTGCGGGAAGAAAATTAGGCACCCACAGGCACCAAGACACACCGTCATTGCTGTGGTGTAAACACCCTACTGGCAGAAAAGAGAAGATGAAGGAATGGCGGAAGATACAACCAGGTGTTCATTGACTGGGACACGAGTAAGGAAGAAAGAGTGGAAGCTAAGAGAAATGCAGAGGAAACACAAAGGAAGATGGAAAGAAGGTCAGAAAATGGAATTGAAGGTGGAACAAGAAGTGAAATCAGGACAGGAGAAGGATAATCAATTACAGCAAGAAAGTGGGCCTAATAACACTGGTGAGAAAAGAGACCATGGAATGAGTGTGTGAATACATCCTGATAGCTTGTCTAACTAGATAGCATGTCAAACCTGACGGCTTGTGTCTAACCTGATAGCATGTCAAACCTGACAGCTTGTCTAGCCTGTTCGCATGTCTAGCTTGACAGCCTTATATTGCTTATGCTCTATGGGCTGATTTTACAAAGGGATTAATTAATTTTAACCTATGAGATAATGGGACAAGTTTTCACCAGTTTGTGAACTCTGTCCCTCTATCCAAAGCAAATAAGCACATCCAGTGCTCCAGTGAACTCTTGTTCATCGAACCAGGTGAGTAAATTTGACCTTAAAAGTGTGTTCCAACTGGAGATTCGCCGAATCGAGGTTCATTAAATCGAGATTCCACTATACAGTATTTAATTTAAAATATATTACCATTTATTATGGCATACAGAGCACCACTTGGTTTCCGAACCCCTTGGGGACGAGACCCGTCGGTTAACATGTAAGTTCGTATACGAGAAATAGAGGGGAAAAAATAAACTAGAAATGTAAAAAGAAATTTTTCCGAAAAATTTATGAAAAAACTCTAGGGAAAAAATCGTCAGGTTCATGGCGTAAATGCGACCGTGTTTTGTTTGTACTCATCAATAAGTGAAGTCCTGATCCGCTTTATAAAAGTCCTTAATTGTTCCTAACTGATTATTAAGACGTCTGGCAAACATCCTCTGGATGTTTCCTGCCAGCCTGCAGGCACATCCTGCCTAAAATATATGATGATGTACTGTACATTTAAGAAACAAATCTGAGTCACAGGTCTGTGGAGTGTGGTTAGGCTTACGGAGTCAGCCGGTCCCTCCCCCCACCACCGACACACCTCCCCCTCTCCCCCCACCACCGACACACCTCCCCCACCCCAAACCCATACACACACACACACACTCTCAAAGGTCACGTGGTTCACGGTTCACTTCAACACCCATATATCGCTTCCTGCCTGCCTGCTTCCTTCCCAGCCTGCCTCCTTCCCAGCCTGCCAGCCTGCTTCCTTCCCAGCCTGCCTCCTTCCCAGCCTGCCTCCTTCCCAGCCTGCCAGCCTGCTTCCTTCCCAGCCTGCCTGCCTGCCTCCTTCCCAGCCTGCCAGCCTGCTTCCTTCCCAGCCTGCCTCCTTCCCAGCCTGCCTCCTTCCCAGCCTGCCAGCCTGCTTCCTTCCCAACCTGCCTCCTTCCCAGCCTGCCTCCTTCCCAGCCTGCCAGCCTGCCTCTTTCCCAGCCTGCCAGCCTGCTTCCTTCCCAGCCTGCCTCCTTCCCAGCCTGCCTCCTTCCCTGCCTGCCAGCCTGCCTCCTTCCCAGCCTGCCAGCCTGCCTCCTTCCCAGCCTCCCAGCCTGCCTCCTTCCCTGCCTGCCAGCCTGCCTCCTTCCCAGCCTGCCAGCCTGCCTCCTTCCCAGCCTCCCAGCCTGCCTCCTTCCCAGCCTGGCAGCCTGCTTCCTTTCCAGCCAGCCTGCCTCCCTCCCTGCCATCATGCTAACGGGTAGTGTGTGTTAGGCTTATCTTCGGGAATGAGCCGGTCTCACCCCCACCACCAACAAACCACCCGCCCCCCTACATCCCATCTCTCAAGGTCACGCGGTTCAACCGCGTGACTACCACTCACTCCCTGCCTGCAAGCTAGCCTGCCTGCCTGCCTGCCTGTCTGCCTGCCTGTGCCTGCCTGCCTGTGCCTGCCAGCCTGCCTTTCCGTCCCTAATTCTCACTACTTCCATCCCTTCCTGCCTACCTCCTAGCATCTCTCCCTACCTCCCCCTCCCTCTTAGCATCTCTCCCTACCTCCTAACATCTCTCCCTACCTCCCCCTCCCTCCTAGCATCTCTCTCCCCCCCTCTCTCACTGATTCTCCCCCCCTTCCTCATTCATACTGCCTCCCACCTAAGCTCCATCGTCCATCCACCCACCAGTCAGCCATCACTGACGCAATGCGTGCATTTGGAGCCAACATGGTGCACAGATGTTTCTTGATTGTGCAGATATGTAAAACAAAAGCACAGAATGAACATTCCAGCCTTATGGCAATTCAAAATAATAGGAATAATAGGCCGTGAATCTGTGAAGTCACAGTGGGCAAACTGGACCATCGCCCACCCACCACCACAAGCCGGCGTGACGCTTGGCGGACCCCTTCCTACCCGAACTTTGTTCGGGTAGCATGACTCCCCAACCCCAATCGGGAAACTGGAAGTTTCGGATAACTAAAGTTCGGAAACCAAGTGGTGCTCTGTACCATGTTGCATTAAAATTCTCAGAATAACACAAATGTTACTTCCACTCAGTCAAATATAAAAAAAATGTATTGTGTAACCATTATTGTAATGGACTACAGTTCATAATCCATGTAGACTATACATGAAACCAAGAGTTGATTGAACCACAAATGTATCAAGCAAAACCATAAGGTATAGGAGTTGCTCAATTACAGGTACTTTGTTGGTATGTGCAATTATTACTCAACTAAATGCATTTCCTAACATAAAACTATAACATATCAAAGAAATTAATAGATATATAACATAGATGGAGACCACAAATATTACCTCTGCTAAGTCAACAGCAAGCCTCCTTTGATCCAAATTAGCAGTAGGAGTAAAGCCAAGACGATGCATAGCTTGAGTAATGTGGTGCGTAAGGTGATGTCGAACAGGATAGTAAACATTAGCATGTCGCACCACCAACTGTAAAATGTGGACCAGCTGTCCCACAGAGTGACCTTCTTCAACTAAAATTTTACGTGTCCAGTGAGTTAGCATAGTATTACCTGAAATATAGACAAACATAATAGAAAAAACCCACGTTGAATGTAATGAAACGTAAGTTTCTGATTGAGCCCCAGAGGCTACCTGAAGGTAGCTACCTGGAGGCTATCTATACTGATAAAGTGCCATGCAACTTGGAGTCATCAGTCGCAGAATTCTTGTAGCCTACCGGGGACCACGAGCCAGAACACAGCCCTTTCAGAGAGGTGTAGAGAGTGTAGCGAGTTAATCTTATACTCGCTCCATTATCTCATTATCTTAATAGCATAACTAATTAGCACTAATTACAAAAGCTACAATCCTTTCCCCAATTACAGGTAATACTCTTCTCATCTTGTTGGAGGGAGCTTAGGTGTAGTCACCATATAAGCAAGTGATATGAGGAATAGTGGACAGTACAATTTCCAGTCAACAATGTAGCACTCGGCGTGAACAGTTCTAATCAACCCAAGATGCTACAGCTTCGACACAGCAGACAGCAGACTACGACCGCATCGAGCTACAACGCTCTCACTCCCAGAGTCCAGACACTCGCAATTCCCAATCGAGCCACCACGCTCTCCCACATAGAGCTCCGCGACTCTGGCCTCACTCAGCTCTCTGCTCTGCTCCAAGCTCCGTCTGAACGTTTACGACAATGCCACCAACCGACTACTGTAATCAAGACTACTAAATAAATATGAAAACTCACTAAACAAGGCGTATCTAATCTACCCAACAATGTAACATAAACGTACATTACAAGAGCAATGGCACATTAGCACTTTACATTTAAAGTCTGTCATCTTGCCATCGACCACCGAAGACACCCAGAAAGGTAAGCGAATCAAAACAGACTATTGCCTGGTTGAGAATTGCAACCTACATCCTCAAAAGAGCAAAACAACTCCCTCACAAAGAAAACAAACAAGCAAAATTTCATCCAACTATTCCCCTGCTAGTTAGTGCCCCTCCCCCTCCCCTGGAGGAGAGGGAACCAGCCCAGCTCACAGACAGTTCTTGAGTGAGTAAAGCCGCCGACCAAAGGGAGGGAGAGTGTCAGGGAGCCTCCGGGATCACCCAGAAACTGGCATTTTATTACATTCAATGCTAGTTTTCTGTGGAGAGCCCTGTTGGCTCCCTGAAGCTAACAATCCACAAAAAATAAAAACCAGCGTTGAATGTAATGAAACGCCATTTTCTGGGTGAGTCCCGGAGGCTCCCCGTAGCTATAGATGGCTGATATGGATACCCTAACTATTTTGCATCAGTCGATGTGGGTGGAGTTCTAGGCCTACCGGGGACCACGAGCCAGAACCTGGCCCCCTCAGAGAGGCATGGGGAGCAATGGCCCATAGAAATGCACATGTGATTTGGAGCATTCTATGTCTGCCATCGACCGGGACAGGCACCCAGAAAGGTAAGCGCCACAAAACAAACCCCTATTCTGATAAACAACAAAATTCAACAAACGAGTGGACAGAACTCCCCCAGGAAAACGAACTAACAAGCATGACGTCATGCGAGCCGTGCCGCATGTCTGCGCAGCTCCCCCCTCCCCAGGAGGGGAAAGGGGGAGCCCCAGACCCCCGCGCCGGCGATCCCCGCCCCAGTTCTGAGGCTGGATATCAAAACCGCGAAAAAAAAACGCCGACCTGAGGGCGGGAGGGTGCCGGGGAGCTTCTGGGACTCGCCCAGAAAATGGCGTTTCATTACATTCAACGCTGGTTTTCTGGGGGGAGCCCCTACGGCTCCCCGGAGCTACCTCACCAAAGACTACCTAAGAAAACAAGGGGACATACCCGGGAGGCGGTCGGTGAATCACTCCACAACACGAAGTCGAGACAACAACCCAAGGTACATCATTCGCCAGAAAAAAGGGAGAACGGCCGCAGACGAAGAAACCTATGATCACGACCATAGGAGCCAAAAACCACTGCGCCTGAGAAGAGCAAGAAGCTCTGCCACACGACCCCAGAGGCGAATGCCAACACAAAAAGAAAACCGAGGCAAAGCAAACCTGACCCCAAGGAGCCACAACCACCAAGAAGAAAAACAGGAAAGCACCCTGTCGAAAGACCAGGACGACACAGGCAGTGCATAAGCAGGCCGGAGGTGTAACAACGCACGATACAACCTGTGAAACGACGCAGAAGGAATATCGATACCGAAAGCTAGCAGCAGAAACCAAGGTGCCAGACCTAGGAATAGCCCCAAGCGCCTCTACATCCCCCGCAAGCCAATCCTATGACAGCCCCAGGAGGGAAAAGAAAACGCAGGACCAAAACGAAAATGCCACAAGTGTGCAAGTCCACCTCCACAAGTGCAGCTGACAGGGAAGGAACTCGCATAAGGAGCCGCCCCGCACCAACATCCCGCAGAAGGGCAGGAGCGAAAAAACTCATTTGAGGAGCAAAATCGCTCCCAGGAAAACTAGTAGCGCCAAGACAGTGTGAAGAGAAGAGATATTCACAAAAGAACAAAAAGGCCAGCACCCAGAAGCTGCCGGGAAGAGGACCCACAAGCCCTAGAAAGGACCGGAGGGAAGCTCAACCGAATGACGACAGACGCACCAGAAAACGGGAAGGAGCAAAACCGTCCCGAACCTTCGAGAACAAAAAGAAGCAAACACAAAGGACGAAGGCCCCAAAACCCCGTCGCACCCGAGACCAAAATTCATGCAGAAACCCCAAGAAGAGGGGGACATGACGGAAGAAGGCCTGTCCCAGAAAAAAGGGGCGAAGATCATAGAAAAGCACCCACCGACAGGACGGAAACAACGGGCACAACGGACAAGGAAACCGAGCCCAGGGAGGGGCCGACGCCCACAAAGCACATGCGAAGAGGGGGAACGGAAAACCCCACACCACAAAACTGCAAGTCCCCCCCAGAGGGGGTAGAAACACCCCAGCGGGGACCAACGGGGCCTGAGGCCCCTCACGTGAGCCCCACCCCAGCCCCGGGAACTCACCCTGCAGGCCCCGGGGCCGAGCTGTCCCCTCAAAGCCCCAGCGTCAAGAAAAACCCCGGGGCAGCCGTGAAAAACACGAAGGAAGGGAGCCCACTAGGCTCTGGAACTTGACCCGAAACCGGAGGATAGGCGAGGGGCGAGACGAAGACCCCAAGCTCATCCCCAGCCAGCACAATGAGGCGAGGACAAGACAGTGAAACCAAGGAACATGGAAAAACCAGGCCCGGCACAGCAAGACTGGCAAGGAAGGAGAGCCCCAGAGGGAGCACAGAAGGGCCGAACATAACACCACAACCAACCCCGACACGCAGCTGCAGTACCAAAACCGCAGCAAAACGTCACCACACTCCCCAAGGAAGCGATAGAGAAGATAGATAAATCATACACGAGTGGCACACAAGAAGACACAGGCGGAAACCGAGCACCCAACTGAGCCACAGGGACGGTAGAAGAAACGTGTGCAGTGTAACAGGCAATCAAAGGAACACATTAGGCAGCCCAACATGGGCTGACCCCATACACAGCTCCAAGAGCAGAGATGAGAGTGCCCAAGAAGCACAGAATCCGCCCGACAGGCAAATGACAGGGGAGAGGCGGAAACAAAGAGCCAGAACCCAACCTGCAAGCACAAGGAGGCGAACACAAAACCTCCGACACAGGAAAACGTACTACCAAACAGGCACCCCCACCGTTGCACTGCGGAACAAGGTGGAGGCGGTGCCCCGAACTCAAGTAAGGTTAGACAAGCATAGGAGAGGGGCAGGAGGAGTACAGGCAGGAACCGCCTCGGAAGGGACAAAAGGCCGCCCGCAGACACCCGTGAACCGAGGAAGGAATCAGGTGGAGAGAACAAGAGCTGCCCAGTATGGGCTAATGGCCCTACAGTAGGCACCTCGGGTGATACGGTCCACGTTCTCAAGTACGTATGTACACCCATTCCTACTCCCAAAAACAAAAACAGCGTCAGGACGAAGGAGACGCCAAAACCGCACCAACTCACCTGCAGAACATAGGCCCTGAGGGGCCATGACGCAAGCTTTCGAGTCTGTATCCGCCGGAGGCGGCCAGTGCGCCCATGCTGGAGAGGAACTGCTAAAGCTGAACCCATGGGACGTGTCCACTCACGAAGGCAAAGCAGGGGGTGCCACCACACAAACGAACCTAATATAAGGGGGGAAACACAAGGCAGACCCCCCTACCAGGCAAAAACAAATATAAAAGAAAAAACCACACAAGTGGACAACGTACCCAGAGGGAACAGAGCCGGCCGCTGTCATAGGTGAAAACTAGCTACGCAGTACCCTGTGCCCCACCAGTGCGATAACTACCACTTACCCCAAGGTAAACAAGGGAGTGAAACCCCCAAACCCTCGGGACGGCCAAACGCCAAGCAGCGAAAAGCCAACAGAGGTAGACCCAAGGTGACTTGTGGAAGGCAACCCCAAGCCCCAAGGGCAGTACTTAAAGGGCACTCAGGGAAGGTGACCCTAAGCACATGCAGCCCGAGTACCTGAGAATACTACTCCCAGCTCACACGACCACCGTAAGAGCAGCACTGCAAACAAGTCACAGCACTGAAACAAGACTGGAGCTGGAGCCACACGACCGTGCATTATCCCATCAGCCGAGGAACTGGGGCGGGGATCGCCGGCGCGGGGGTCTGGGGCTCCCGCTTCCCCCTCCCGGGGAGGGGGGAGCTGCGCAGACATGCGGCGTGGCTCGCATGACGTCATGCTTGTTAGTTCGTTTTCCTGGGGGAGTTCTGTCCACTCGTTTGTTGAATTTTGTTATTAACCAGAATATGGGTTTGTTTTGTGGCGCTTACCTTTCTGGGTGCCTGTCCCGGTCGATGGCAGATATAGAATGCTCCAAATCACATGTGCATTTCTATGGGCCATTGCTCCCCATGCCTGTCTGAGGGGGCCAGGTTCTGGCTCGTGGTCCCCGGTAGGCCTAGAACTCCACCCACATCGACTGATGCAAAATAGTTAGGGTATCCATATCAGCCATGGATAGCTCCGGGGAGCTGTAGGGGCTCCCCCCAGAAAAACA